TTCTGAGCGACTAGAAAAAACATCACAACCGAGACACGAATGGGAACGGGAAAATGGAAATGAAATATGCATAACATATTATGTACATTTCATTTGTGTTTTTAATATAATCATTATCAAATACACCTCTGGTTTGCATGATTATGAAGTTTTATAGATTTTTCCATAGTTTAACATTAAATATTATATTAGAAACATTCATTTGTAAATTAATTTAACATTTTGCAAGAAATTACTGATTACTTACTTATGGAGCCTTCATTATCTGAATGGTAATTAGAAAGAGCTTCTTTGAAGTAGGTCCTTATGTTAAAAAATCTCTTTAGAAAATTGTTTAGAAGAACACGAATCGAATGAGAAACTAGATGTGACAATTTAAATCGATAGATAGATTATTGTAAATTGTACTTTTTCTTATTTTTGAACTCAGATTTTCTGAAGTTTCCAAGTACAAACGTAGAAATACACGCAATAAAAAACTTTCTTGAAGATTGGAATAAAAAAAATTAGTGGACTGGTGAACAAAGGCTTGTCATGCAGAGTACGTTTAAACATTGATCACCAGGCTTGCTCTATGTTGATTGATTTCAATCTTAACATTACAAATTTTTATTGGCATGGATTTCAAACTTATTATTTGAAATTATAGTCTTGGTTTTATCATGATGTTTTCATTTACCGTTTGCCATTGATATCTAAATACAAATGTACATAATATAATTCAGAAAAAAGTAATATTTGTTGAAGGTACTTGCCTGGTTTCGAAATCACACCCTCATTTAAGAGAAGCGGGCACGACGAGTACGATACGAGTATACTGTTTTTTTTTTTTTTTTGTGAGGGGAAAATCATCAAATGACTTCTCCCGCCCAGGGCCGGGCAGGAGGGAGTGTCAGACTCTTACTGACTAAAAACCCCCCTGTTCCTTCTCCTGCTCTGTGCCGAGGTCGCGGTACCTCATTGCGCTTACCCCGCAACCCCGGCTGAACATCAGCCCTTTAGGGCCCCGTGTGTGGTGGTCTATTGGCTCTTTGAGGCGCGCGCGGAACGCTACGCGCCGTACGCTCGGGCCTGGTTCTGGTCGGGCGGCGAGCTGCCCTTACTCGCCGACCGCAGGCCCGTACTTACGGTGGCCGGAGATCGTCCCTCGATCCCCGACGCCCGTAGTGTCGCCAGTTGCGGCTGCTGGGGCGTGAGGAGGAGAATTGCTCCCTCACGCGGGCCGCCTCTCTCTTTGCGAGCATGACTGCTTCACAAAAGGAGGAGACGGCGTCCCAGTTCCTCTCACTCCGCACCATGGCCTCGACTAAGGCCGGGCGCGAGAGGTCGCCGCCGCCAATCACTTCCCTGAGGATACGGCGGTGCTCAGCCCAGGCAGAGCATACCGCTACCGTATGCTCCACCGTATCCTCTAGGTGGTCCTCACAATGACGACACTCGGGCGTTTCCTCCCGCTGAATCCGAAACAGGAACCTACCGAAGCTGCCGTGCCCGGTAAGCACCTGCGTCAGACGGAAGGTGAGGACGCCGTGGCGTCTCTCAAGCCACTCCTCAAAGAGGGGTCTTACCACTGCTATGGTAGCGTGCCCGGCCCTCGGTTGCGACAGTCGTTGTTTCCACTCTGCCATGAGATCTCGCCGGAGCTCATTCCGCCACGCACTAATTTGGCGCGGCAGAGGATCTTCGCCCCGGCGACGCGCGTCTGCGCGCAAACTGTAGACGCGCGCGAGCGCCTTCGCTTCTAGATCCCACGGCGGTGATCCGGCAAGGAGGTTCGCCGCCTCCCCGGAGATCGTGCGATACCCGCGGATTACTCGAATAGCTATGACCCTCTGGGACGCGACCAGCGTACGAGCCGGCCGCCGCTTCAAGGCCGACGAGTATACTGTTTGGCACAGATATAATAGTTTAAATTCTTTCTCAAAATTTTATTATATAATTATATATTATATATATGATACTTATAAAATTCTCGTGTCACAATGTAAGTTACCTTACACCTCCGAAACGGCTGTACAGATTGTTACCAAATTTTATATGCATATTCAGTAGGTCTGAGAATCGGCTACTGGCTATTTCTGATACCTCCAAGTGGCAATTGTTGAATACTAACATTTTTTCCAAATAATGTAAGCATATAATATCAAAACAAAGTTTGTAGAGATGTAATAACAATATTAAAGGACATCATAAGCAGACCAAATACATAGAATTTGCATAACTAATCAGAACATGCATCGGTAATTTGATAAAGTAATTGGTAGGTATTGCGTACCTAATGTGTAGCGTACTGTACCTCGGGGGATCAGTCACAATGTAGGTCGCCTCGTACTAATTAATAATGGCGACTATTCTGCCAGTCATTTGAGGAAATGACCAACAGTAATAACGGTGCTTCGCTTCTACTTTACATCAATCGATCATAATTTTGTGTAGGAATAGTATGAAGTCATTTCCAACTGCAAAGAGCTTTCCTTTAGATTTATTTGCATGATTTCTCATAATATAGTGAAGAAGGGTGTCGTGTATGACAGTGATGTTATTTTTAAACTTCTTTACATTGTAACAAAGTGCGTTTTGTTATAAAAATAATTTTATTATTAAAGTTTGCGAAAAATAATTTATTGATCATTGGTCAGTCTCCCTAAACAAGTAAATAACGTTGAACTTCGCTCGGGCACTCCAGACAGCGTTGAAGAGTAATTCAACAAGTTCGTGGACTCCTTGAAATACCTGTGTTAGATTTCAACTTTTACTTTGATATATATACCTAACTCTCAAACACATTCTTGGATCCTCCGACGTTCACAATTTATAAAAGTCTAATTAAGCCTAAGCAAATTGCTAGTGTAGGCACCTAAGTTTTCAAAACTTAGAAACTTTGTTTAAAGATCAGGTGTAAAATTGTAAGATATTTAAAAGTCCAAACTTAGCTTAGCCTCGACGGAGATGATAATCAAGAATTGTTAACTTCATCCTTTTAAAGTAAACTTTGCGATAAAAGCTTAATTGAAACACTTTTAATGATTATTTTTAATTAACTATGCAAATGAGTATCGGCGCTATATTTTTCGAGTTTAGACTACGAAATTGGGAGGATGAAAAGTTATATTTTGTACTATAAAAGCTAAAGTATGTATTTTGATTATAATTATTATTCTAAACACTGGTTAATGAACTAAAATGATACATAGTAAAGACTAATTACATTCTATATTAAAATTTATTTGATACATAGTGACTGACAGACAGACAGATATTTTAAAGAGACCCTAAGCGTTGCAGTTAATTATCTAATACATTGTATACAGTATGATTGTAGATATACTTATTTACTGATAATAGGCCTTCTACGAATAAGGCCTTCTACGTATTGTATTTTTAGTATACTCATATTTATTTTGCAAAGTATTCCGATTTGCCTTCTAACCTGACGCTCGATGATATTTGACAGTTTGACATGAGAAGTTGATTAGGAAAATATAAATTTTGATGTATCTACTACCGATTTTAAGGATTTTACTATTCCTTGTCATAATCAAAATAGTCTACAGATTCAAGCCAGTATTTAATTAATTTTACTTTTTTCTTTCTTGGTCACAATGTAATGATTATGTTCTGAGAGCAATAACTAATGACTGAGATAAGTAACCATCGAATGACTAAGTACGGTGGATAACCAGTATTTATGATACATTTAAGATGGCCGTCCGTCACTCAATTTTCGGCCGGGTTGCTCTAAAATAGAGCGCGGCAAGGTTGGCCTATGAATAGTGCATGAGGTAAGTTCCGAGACGCTCCGGCCGTTCCCCGGGGTGTTATTTTATACCTTCGACGAACTTTGACGAAACAAAACGTGAGAACCCTTTTGGCGATGGTCTGGTATGCTTTATGGTTGATGCTCTTTAAGAGGGTGAAGGAAAAAGGAATGTTTTAAAATATACATACAGTGTTAAAGGATTAAATTCTATGTGAATTTGGAAGGAACAAAGTTGTTTTTTTAAAATTTTCTGATTAAAAACGCTATAGTTAGGTACGTACCTAACTATAGCGTTTAACAGAAAATTAAAGTGAGTCAACATTTATAAAAATCATACGTATGTTTTTTATAAATGGTGCCTTACTTTGATATTTTCTCCTGTGTCGTGGGTGCGTTTACAATCATAAAATCACATACGCCACCCAGACCAGAAACAACAATTTGTGGATCAGTTTTTCGAATGGTACCGCGACTCGTTGCACAGTAGCCAGAAGAAAAGCTTTAAGAAAAGCTTTAAGAACGATTAATTTAATTAAAAAACGAGATGAAAAAAATACAGCAAGAGAATGCACACATATTAAAAAATAATACTTTATTCATATCAGAAAATATTTCCTTTTGTTTTTCAATGGAACGTAATCAGCCTGAAAATGAAAATTACATATTTTAGGTAAATTGCCTACAACTACGGAACGACTAAGTTATTCAGAATTACTTACTAGACACTTGCTGCTAAACGAACACCTCTTCTCTTAGACATGGTATAATTTAAAAGTATAACCTTTTTCATAACGTATAATTATTTGTTAGCAGCTATCCATAACCATACCCTATGGTTCAATCAGTTTCTTGCTCGTACTTCTCTATAAGAATCAACACTTTGGAATCAGGGGTGTGATTCTGTAAGACTTCATTCTAAACTTCGAATCTGAATCCGCTGTGAGTAGTAGTACACTAGTGCTACACTTGCGATTGAACTAAATTGACAGCAACATTTTGATAGATAAAGTATGAGATGACGTTAAAAGTGGCATTCTAAAATTTAATTTCCTCGTTACTTCGACGCTCACTTCGCACTCGAACAAGATTCAAAATCAAACAAATTTTATAGAATCGACGTGCAGCAAATAGATTCACTAGAGGAGAGACCGACAGATTGCCATTCCCAAAGTTGAACATTTAGGTACTTTTTTAGTCAACTTTCAAAGTAAATTAATGTTAACGATAGGTGATAAATAAATTAGAAAATTACTTGGTTGTAATACCACCATCCGCTGCCATTTACAACAGGCTTCGGAATAAAGTCCTTTAAGTCCGGCGCATCCTGACTGATCTTTATATGGTCGTATAAGTCCTGGAAATAATATTAAAGCTTTTTAATAATTGATTACAATTTTTAACGATTGTTCGGTTTGATTTGGCACAGGGTATGTAGTAAATAACCATTGCTTGTTTTGAGTGCAGTTACAAGCAGACAAGTTTACATATAAAATACAATCCGACCACACCCAAATATTCGTGAATGAAATTAAGAGTTAGAGATGGTCGTGGTAGCCTGGAGGATAAGGCGCCCGTTTCTCATGCATGAGGGTGCAGGTTCGAAATCTGACAAGTACCAATGTGCTTCTGTGGACTTTCTATCATTATTTGGACACAGCTGACGTACGGTGGAGTAAAACGTCGTGAGGAAACCTGGACTTATAATTTCTAATAAAACTTTAAAATCGCCAATCCGCCTTGAGCAAGCGTGGTACTCAAACCTTTCTCCGTGTGAGAAGCGGCTTTTGCCCAGCAGTGGGCACTTTTAGGCTGATGATGTTGATAAAGAGTTGTTTGGAGCACTAGTCATTTTTTTTACACGTTGTTCTTTTCAAACAAATTTTTACATAAATATCATTATTTTACAAAAATATAACCTTACCTTAGTATTAAGGAACCAGGTTTGTTTAGAACTAGCATTCGTTTTATCCAGATTAAGGTCATCGTCATCTGATGTTATGGGGGGATCATCGAAAGGTATTGCCTTCAAAGAATCTTCATCGTCTTCTATTGATGATTGTTTATGTTGCTGTCTCAAACTGCCAAAGACTAACTTATCTAAGTTAACGTGAACGTACTGAAATACAATAAAATTAATATTCATTAGACATGAAGATAGGAAAGGATGCTTTACGAAATTTGGTTTTGTAATTTGTAACGTAGATATCAAACTGTTTAACTTTAGCTTTAAAATTTAACAGTTGGGCTAATGGTACTGGTAAATATAAATTAATTTCAAAATGTTCAGTAATCTATATTATAAAGCTTGTTTGTTTGTTTGAACGCGCTAATCTCCAAAACTACTGGTTCAAATTGAACAATTCTTTTTGCGTTCGCTATCCAGTTGTCGAGGAAGGCTATAGGCTCTAAACCATTACGCCACGATCTGTAGTGCCGAGCAGCGGGTGAAACCGCGCGAGAGTAGCTAGTAAATATTTAACATAATCGAGAAATAACGCACAACACGTTGATTTTATTTTATTGTTTTATTCAACACTTCATGTTACTTATATTAAATTGATACAAGAGTGGACATTATACCAAAAGGTATTCTTTACTAGTCAACTGTTGGGGGATGCAGAGAAGTGTTACAATAGGTTCATTTTGAGGCTTGTTTTTTTTTATAAAAACAAGTATAGTATTTGACGTTAAAATTGTGACGTCACAATAAATATAATATTCTAATACAACTACAAACATACGGTTTTTGACATTTTAAATAAAGTATTGAATATGTTCAGTTGTTAAGTACCCATTACATTTTTCTATTTTATTTTATTTTATTCACAGGCTTTTAAGGGGCTTAGCAGACTTGATAATAATAATATAATACTTAATATCGACTTGGCACACGAGGTTGTCGACATGTGGGAAGTGAATGCAGCGATCATTGTACCGACAGTCGTGTCAGCCAATGGCTTAATAGCCAAGAGCCTCGACCAACATCTTAGGAGGCTCTCGTTAGGTGGCTGGATTTAGGGCTTGATTCAGAAAGTAGTACTCCTGGACACGGCTCGTATTGTCAGGAGCCGATACCAGTGGGACACTATTTTTTATATTTTTAAATGTTTTTTATTATTTATTTTTAAGAAATATTTAAAAATGTAATTTATATGTTTATATGCTGAATAAAAAACAATATAATACTTACAGCCATGTTTTTATTATTTTGACCGAATCTGCGAATAATTAAAATATCACTTTTTTATTTTAAACTAATCCTTTCTTTATAAGGCCTAAGACATAGATTTTAAATATAACAAATTATATTACTTTCTGCCTTGCAACGTGTTGCGGGTTCAATTCCTGAACGGAACAACATTTTGTCTTATAGGCAAATTGTTGTTTCGGGTCTGTGTGTCATGTGTTTGTTAAATTGAATGTTTGTAAACACACCCATGACACTGAAGAAAATCATAGCGTGAGGCTTCGTAAAAAAAGTTTACAATATAATATAGTATTATGAATTATCTATTTAATTGTTTACCTTTTTTTTCTACGTCTGTTAGACAAAAAAGATGTTCTAAGTCTTTGTAGATAATCCTGTAATTATAATGTGATATTTATATTATGGTACCAGCGACCCGCCCCGGTTTAGCACGAGTGCAATGCTAATAGTTCTTCCAATATTTAACGAGTGTTATTATACATATTATAAGCTTCCTCTTCAATCACTACAAATCTATTAAAAAGCGCATCAAAATACGTTGCGTTGTTTTAAAGATTTAAGCATACCTACATACGGATAGAGGTACAGAGACAGTGTTTTATAAGTTCTGTCATTTTGTGTGATATAAAATAAATATTCAGAATTATTAATACCAAATAGCGTGGGATAAACTAAATTTATTGAAAATAACGACTTAACTTTTCTTCTCCGTTTATTAAACCATTATTTTCAATAAACCGTAAAATAGAAAATATTTAATACACGAAAGGTAAAAAATTTTTAAGTATCTATTCACCCCTCTTTTGTGTCTATGCACCCATGGAATTCTATGCACCCCGTTTTACCGTACCTAATTCAAAATTATCAACATAGCCTGATAAATATTTTTTTTCTTAATTTTAAAACATCGTGTCTAAGTATGGATATTTGGAGGCAGGAGAGTTTATTAGGATAATCTATTTAAATAATGATCATGTCTGTACAGGGACCATGATTAAAAATCTTGTAGGTACATACATTATTTCTCTACAAAAGGAAATGCGAGGCATTATAGGTATTATATTTCTAATAGGTACCATAAAACAAACATATACATAAAAAATAAAATTTAACATTATTCAAGATACTTATTAAATTACGTTACTAAGAAATCTTTATTTATTTAATATTTACAATTACCTATTTGCCATATTTCTCTATAGTGATTTCATAGGTTTCGTGCCTAAAATTATTTGAATACCTAATATATTTTAAAAGAAACGCGAATAAAAGTCGAAAGTTAATTTCATCAAATAGTTTATTACATAAATAAATTCATTACACGTTGCTTTTTATGAAAAAAATCTACCCTTTTCCACATATGGAAAGGGTCTAATTTTTACTGTAAATTTTATAATGATATAGTACCTACTCATCTAAAGGTCTTCTTCTGGCGTAAGTTATGATACCTCGAGGTGTCGACATAAATACAGGTCGCCTGAAATTTATGTCAATTTAAGTGACCTAAAATATAAATTATGACTTCTTTAATTTAAAAAAACTGAAAATCGTAACTTACCAGTTATATTTTTCTTCCTAAAATATGTAATTAATAAAATATTTAGATCTTTTTTAATAAAAGTATTTAGATTATTCGGGTTTTTTGTAAATTACACATACACATTTCGTATTCTCAATATAAACTTTAGACCAACTTTATTTTTTCCAAAAGTATACATTTACATGAAGGCATATAAATAAATGTATATACAGAAATAAAACTCGGTTATTAAAACGAATGAAACAAATTCAAATGTAACTAAAAATATTTAAATATAATAAAAAATATGCAATTAAATCGAAGGCTATAAATATTATTCACTTATCTAGCATTAGAATAGACTTGAAATTTAATGATATTCAATTAAATTTGTAAAAAGTGTAGGAGAGCCTTCTTCTGCGCGAAAGGGCCGTCTTGACTGGAGTATTGCCATAGAAAACCGGCGTGAAACAATATTTAGGTGCGTTGTGTGTTTCGCTTTGTGAGTGTGGTTATTAGAAACCCCCGGCTATCCTTAATCCCCAAATTTCCTAGACCTAAATCCCTAATAATCCACAAAAGTTCAGCTATGCACTTGTAGTTATTTCTTTGGAATTAAACATGAGTGTCTATCGGTGGCACCGATTGCTTACCATCAGGGTAAGAAGTTTGCTGACCTTTCACTTAAAGTTCAGAAAAGTGTCGAAAATACAAGGTATGATCTAAAAACATTATTTTAATTTCAAAAACACAATAAAATCCTTACTTCCGGCCTTGAGCGTAGAACCTTCAGTTCCTAAATAATAAAACAGCATATTTCAATCTAAGTTAGTATTTTAAAGCTTGCCGTTGATGTAACAGACAGACAAATAAAATTTATTCTCGTACCAAATAACTGTACGGTAAAACGGGGTGAATAGAATTTGAGGGGTGAATAGATACTAGACGTGTGGTATTTAGACACCACTGTGTGTACCGTATTTACGGTGAAGGTAAACATTGTGAGGAAACCTGGACTTATAATTTCTAATTATAAGTTTAAATCGCCAACCCGCATTGGGTAAGCGTGGTGTTGATTAATGCTCTAGCCTTCTCCGTACGAGAAGAGGCCTTTGCTCAGCAGTAGACACTTATAGGCTGATGATGATGATGATAATGAATAGATACCAGGAAATAGAATAGAATAGACTACCCCTCAAATTCTATTAACCTCGTTTAACCTTTGAATAAAATTAATATACAAACCTCGATGGAACGAGTATTTCCGTGTTGTTGAGGTCTTCCTTGGTACTGTGTTTTTACTGAACTCTGGCGAGATAGAATAGCTGTTAAAACTATTTACCTTTTTACTGGGTTACTAGTAATTAGCAAATTAAAGAACTGGTAAATTATCTATACATATTATTATTATTAGATGCCAACCTCGGTTCTGGTTTCTGAGTCAAATATTGGACATGATTGCAATTTTATTAATTCAAACTAATATTATAAATGCAAAAGTAACTCTGTCTGTCTGTCATTTCTTCACGCCTAAACTACTGAACCTATTTGTGTAAAATTTGGTACAGACATAGTTTGGAAGTCGAGAAAGTTATCAACACCATAGTCACAATTTTACGAAAGTCGAGGGCGAAAGCTAGTAATTTATAATATTGCACGCACCTTTATGTTAACATATACATATATTTTTATACAAAAATATTTTATATTCATAATATTCCACCAGTCTCTTGTCTACTCACCTTTTTTGACTTTTCAATCTTTTTCGGTTTTCTTGGATATTGTGGAGCAACGAGCTATTATGAAATGAAAACCAAAACAAAAGTTAATGTCCAGCACAAACGATGACCAATTTTTTGTCAAGGTATGTAATATTACAAGTAGGCGTTCTAACTTACCCTGTAGTTTGATAAGAATTCCTTCAACAACGATAATTTTAGACACATTATATGGAATTATTTATTTTCTGACTCTGAATATTAGTTTTAGTTTTTCTTAATCAACTTACTTTTACTTCTTTTCTTCTGTCTTCAATCCTTGAAGTGTGAGTAGACTTCTAAGCGAAAATAACGTTTTTATCATTTCTTATCTTAGCTCTGATATTTAATTATTAATCAGTTTACATAATTTAGGTCTAGATTAGCCATTTCGGCCATTTTTATTGTGCCAGCTCGACCAAGTTTACCTCGACACTCGACTCGACTCTACACAGAAAACCAACCACTCAAAAGTTTAGTTTAACGGAGGAGGTAATCCTCCCACATACTGAGACTCCAAAACCCTTAATCCTCAAATTCCAAACCTTCAAAAGACCGGTACTGCACACTTTGTACTACAAAGTAACCATTTTGATCTTAATTGTCTTGAAAAATGTGTACGACGGATTCCT